TAATGGTCATGGTCTGACACCCAGAACATCTTATTTTAATAATATTATTATTATCATTATTATTATTATTATTATTATTAATATTATCGTTATTATTATTATTATTATTATTATTATATTATATTATTATTATCATTATTATTATCGTTATTATTATTATTATTATCGTTATTAATATTATTATTATTATTATTATTATTATTATTATTATTAATTATTATTATCGTTATTATTTATTATTATTATCATCATTATTATTATTATTATTATTATTGATAATGGTCATGGTCTGACACCCAGAACATCTGTTTATAAAGGCAGCAAATCTGCAGTGCACCAGGTAGACCCTTTGCTGAAATGAAACCCGGGACCTGGCAATGGATACATTTACATGTTCCTAACCCCTTGACGCTGATCTCAGGCAAATATTCGGCCTCTCGGTGTCTGGGCCTTGATGCATATTTGCGTGCAATTAGAAAATACATATGTGCTGAGAGCGTGTGTCCTGCGCTCTTCTAGCACATATGTCCGTGACTCACGGAAAGGTCCCAGATCTCCCCTTTCCATTGGGACCTTTTACGATCATGTGATGGCGAATTATGGTGGTCACATGACAGGGCGGGGGTCAGCGCATGCTGAAGCACACAGTGCGCAGAAGTCACCAACTGTCTGCAGAGTCAATAGCTAAAGACCTCCAAACTTGGTGTGGCCCTCAGATGAGCCCAACAACAGTGTGTAGAGAGCTTCATGGAATGGGTTTCCATGGCCGAGCAGCTGCATCCAAGCCTTCCATCACCAAGTGCAATGCAAAGCGTCGGATGCCGTGGTGTAAAGCACGCCGCCACTGGACTCTAGAGCAGGGGAGACGTGTTCTCTGGAGTGACCAATCACGCTTCTCTGTCTGGCAATCTGATGGACGTGTCTGGGTTTGGTGGTGGCCAGGAGAATAGTACTTGCCTGACTGCATTGTGCCAAGTGTAAAGTTTGGTGGAGGGGGGGATTATGGTGTGGGGTTGTTTTTCAGGGGTTGAGCTTGGCCCCCTAGTTCCAGTGAAGGGAACTCTTAAGGCGACATGTTGGACAGTTTAATGCACCCAACTTTGTGGGAAGAGTTTGGGGATGGCCCTTTCCTGTTCCAACATGACTGCGCACCAGTGCACAAAGCAAGGTCCATAAAGACATGGAGGAGCCAGTTTGGGGTGGAGGAACTTGACTGTCCTGCACAGAGTCCTGACCTCAACCCCATAGAACACCTTTGGGATGAATTAGAGTGGAGAATGCGAGCCAGGCCTCCTCCCCCGACATCAGTGCCTGACCTGACAAATGTGCTTCTGGAAGAATGGTCCAACCTTCCCATAGACACCCTCCTAAACCTTGTGGACGGCCTTCCCAGAAGAGTTGAAGCTGTTATAGCTGCAAAGGGCGGGGCCAACTCAATATTGAACCCTACGGACTAAGACTGGGGGGCCATTAAAGGTCATGTGCGGGGAAAGGGCAGGGCCAACTCAATAGTGAACCCTACGGACTAAGACTGGGAGGCCATTAAAGGTCATGTGTGGGGAAAGGGCGGGGCCAACTCAATAGTGAACCCTACGGACTAAGACTGGGGGGCCATTAAAGGTCATGTGCGTGGAAAGGCCGGCCGACCAATACCTTTGACAATATAGTGTGTACACCGTGTTCCAAATTATTATGCAAACTCTATTTAAGTGTCACAAAGATGAAATGTTTTGTTTCTCAGTGTAACTCATGGATGGCATTGTGTGTCAGGGCTCTTTTGATCACTGAAAACAATCTGGGACACCTGTGATAATTAGATTGGAAGGTGAGCCCAAATTAAGGAAAAACTACTAAAGGACGGCGTTCCCACATTATTAAGCAGAGTGCCATTTTCAAGCAATATGGGGAAGAAAAAGGATCTCTCTGCTGCTGAAAAGAGTGAAATAGTTCGATGCCTTGGACGAGGAATGAAAACATTCGATATTTCACCAAAACTTAAGCGTGATCATCGCACTATGAAGAGATTTGTGGCTGATTCAGAGCACAGACGGGTTGGTGCAGATAAAGGCACATTGAGGAAGATTTCTGCCAGATCCATGCATCGGATCAAGAGAGCAGCTGCTAAAATCCCATTACAGAGCAGCAAACAGATATTTGAGGCTGCTGGTGCCTCTGGAGTCCCACGGACATCAAGGTGTAGAGTCCTCCAGAGTCCTGCAACTGTGCATAAACCTTCTATTCGGCCACCACTAACCAATGCTCACAAGCAGAAACGGCTGCATTGGGCAGAAAAATACATGAAGACTCATTTTCAAACAGTCCTGTTCACTGATGAGTGCCGTGCAACCCTGGACGGTCCAGATGGATGGAGTAGTGGATGGTTGCTGGACGGCCACCCTGTTCCAACAAGGCTGTGACGTCAGCAAGGCGGTGGTGGAATCATGTTTTGGGCCGGAATCATGGGAACAGAGCGGGTCGGCCCCTTTAGAGCCCCCCGAAGGTGTAAAGATGACCTCTGCAAAGTATGTGGAGTTTATGACTGACCACTTTCTTCCCTGGTACAGAAGGAAGAACTATGCTTTCCGTAATAAAATCATCTTCATGCATGACAATGCACCATCTCATGCTGCAAAGAATACCTCCGCATCAATGGCTGCTATGGGGATAAAAGGAGAGAAAGTCATGGTGTGGCCTCCATCCTCCCCTGACCTCAATCCTATTGAGAACCTTTGGAGCATCCTCAAGCAAAAGATCTATGAGGGTGGGGGCAGTTTACATCCAAACAGCAGCTCTGGGAGGCTATTCTGACATCTTGCAAACAAATTCAAGAAGAAACTGTCCAAAAACTCCCAAGTTCAATGGATGCAAGACTTGTGATCTGCTATCAGATAAGGGCTCCTATGTTACAATGTAACGTGACCGCTTCAAATGTTTACAAAGTTACAATGTTGGAAAAGTTTGATTGAAATAGCTTTTGATTTCAGTAAATATGCTGCAAAACACAACAAATGACAATTTTCAGTTCTTTACAACCTAGAAAGTGTTTTGAAACTTCCTGTGCGGAATAATTTGGAACAAAAATCCTGTTATCATTAGGAGGTTTGTTCAATAAAATGTGAATTGTACTCTTATAGTTGTAATATGAGAATTATGCCGACTGTTATTTACATCAATTATTGAGGGAAATGAGAAAAATATAATTTGCATCATAATTTGGAACACGGTGTGTATATATATATATTTATTATTTTATTTATTTGTTTTTTATTTGTTTTTACTGTTCCTTCTTCCTTATGCAGTTTTAATGTTTATGTAAATAATGTAAATATATTTTATATATTTTTTTATATATATATATATATATATATATATATATAAAAAATAAAAAAATAAAATGGATCCAACGTTCTCTGTTGTCCAGGGGCCTCCCAATACAGCAGTTCTATGACCTGACAAAGCTGAAGAAAAGCGTAGTTCGTGAAAGTGATGATCTCTTCGGGATTCTTCCACTGATTGTCCTCCTCCTTCCTCTCGAAGTCGAAGACTTCACTTTCACGAACTTCACTTTTCTTCAGCTCTGTCGGGTCCTAGTACTGCTGTATCGGGGTGCCCCTGGACAACCACAGTTATTACGTTTTGTATCACTTTACCTTTCCATTGAGATTGGTAACCTCTCATGAGCAGGATCCTCCTGACCTTCTTGTGTTGAACCGTATTGTAACTGTTGTCATGGTCATGGGTCAGGCTCAGAGACTAGTATCTATAGCAGGCTCTCCCCGACCAGCAGGATAGGTATAAAAGCAAGTCACCGGACGAGGCAGGCTCCTCCGGGGTCCGGGTCTAAGTACTAACTAGTATTCACCAGAATACTCCACCTAGTGATGGTGGAGATGGGTTTTGCAGCATGTTAGTACCAGGTCGTGGTCCTCAGGATTGCCCCATCAGGAGGTGAGCAAGCTGGGGTCCTGTTGCAGATTTAGCAGGTAGGTATCAAGCAGAAGTGTAGTCAGTAAACAAGGCAACGGTTGGTAACAGGTAGTTGCAGGTTGGGATCAAGCAGAAGCGTAGTCAAGGAACAAACCAAAGGTCTGTACCAAGTGGCAGTGAAGATAGAGACAGCAGAAGGAGTAACAAGAGTGAGATATTGCCTGGAGAGAGAACAATAATCCGGCAAAGAGTATGTCCTAAATGGGAAGTTCATGGGAGGAGCAAAAAGGTTCAAGGGAACCAAGGTTCAAGACAGGATCATTCAAGGAATCGTCTAGCATCCCAGTAGGCTCAGCAAGAAGATACATTGCCAGACACAGCAGAGGTTGCAGGTTCAGACCCGGGTCCTGTTTCCCTCGATATTGTAAAGCACTGCACACGAACGAACGACAAAAGATAGCAGGACTGACCCCAAAAAATACTTCAAATATATTAATAGTAGAAAGGTTCGGTCCCAGCATGTAGGCCCTTTACAGAACCAGCTAGAGGGGGTGACTGGGGACAAAGAGAAGGCCAATGTATGAAATCCCTTCTTCAGCTCTGTGTATACAAAAGAGCATGGGAGAGCTCTTGTCCATAATGGGGGGTGGTACTGACACCCCCCAGATGATCCACATTGGCTCACAACTGATAGGATCCAGAAATATTTAGACAGAATAAAGGTGAATAAAGCTCCTGGACCGGATGGCATACACCCACGGGGCCTTAAATAATTATATTGAGTTCTGTCATTTCACACCCATTGTTTCTCATTTTTAGGGACTCTTTAATGACTGGCATAGTACCCCTGGACTGGCATCAGGCCAATGTGGGGCCAATATTTAAAAAGGGGTCAAAATCTTTCCCAAGTAATCATAGACCTGTTACTGTAACTTCTATAGTTGGGAAGATACTGGAGAGTTTAATAAAAGACCACAGAGAGGAGTTCTTGCTGGAAGAAAAAATATTTTAAGCAACAGACAGCATGGAGTCATGAAAGACAGAAGTTGTCAAACAAATCTGATTTCTTTTTATGAGGTATGGTATTCTTGGACAGAGGGGTGGCTGTGGACGTGGGTATACTTGGACAGAGGGGTGGCGGTGCAGTGGTATTCTTGGACAGAGGGGTGGCGGTAGATGTAGTATACTTGGACAGAGGGCTGGCGGTGGATGTGGTACACTTGGACAGAGGGGTGGCTGTGGACATGATACACTTGGACAGAGGGGTGGCTGTGGATGGGGTATACTTGGACAGAGGGGGTGGCGGTGGACGTGGTATACTTGGACAGAGGAGTGGCGGTGAACGGGGGTATACTTGGACAGAAGGGTGGCGGTGGACGTAGTATACTTGGACAGAGGGGTGGCTGTGGATGTGGTATACTTGGACAGAGGGGTGGCTGTGGACGTGGTATACTTGGACAGAGGGGTGGCAGTGGATGTGGTATACTTGGACAGAGGGGTAGTGGTGGACGTGGTATACTTGGACAGAGGGGTGGCAGTGGACGTGGTGTACTTGGACAGAGGGGTGGTGCAGTGGAGTGGTATACTTGGACAGAGGGGTGGCAGTGGACGTGGTATACTTGGACAGAGGGGTGGCAGTGGACGTGGTATACTTGGACACAGTTCCCCACACACGGGTAATGTGTAAGGTAAAGTCTACAGGCTGGAAAAATCTGAATGTAAATGGATAGAAAACTGGCTAAAAGATGGTATTCAGAGAGTAGTGGTTAATGATTCATACTCTGAATGGTCTGGGGGTGTCAGTGGTGCACCCCAAGGTTCAGTGTTGTTAGTGGTGTACCCCAAGGTTCGGAGTTATTAGTGGGTGTACCCCAGGTTCAATGTTATTAGTGGGGTACCCCAGGGTTCAATGTTATTAGTGGGTACCCCATGGTTCAGTGTTGGGACCCTTACTATTTAATATGTTTATAAACTATATCGGGTCTGGGATTACAAATCCCATCTCAGTCTATGCAGATGACACCAAGCTGTGCCGGGGAATAACGTCCTTACAGGATGTCCCCAACTTACAAGCCGACCTCAATGCTCTGTGTAATTGGGGGACTATGGGGCCAATGAGGGCTAATGTTGATACATGTAAGGTTATGCACTTGGGGGCTAAGAATATCATGCATCATACATACTAGGGGGGTACAACTGGGGGAATCAATGGTTGGCCACCCCTCTGGGTCCAAGTATAATAATGGAGATCCACTGTTCTAATTAGGATCCTCCACCAATCACCATGTATAATAGTAAGGGGTAGATATGATTCTCCATGGTATAATACATAAGTGGGGGATATGATCTCCATGTATAATACAGTTAAGGGGGGATTTGGGATCTCCAATGTATAAATAATAAACATTGGGGATACTGATCCAGTATAATACAGAAAGGGCAACCAAATGATAAGATCTCCATGTATAATACATATGGGGGGATATAGGTATAATACATAATTATGATCTCATGTTATAATACATTAATTGGGGGGGATATGATCTCCATGTATAATACATAAGGGGGGATATGATCTCCATGTATAATACATAAGGGGGGATATGATCTCCATGTATAATACATAAGGGGGGATATGATCTCCATGTATAATACATAAGGGGGGATATGATCTCCATGTATAATACATAAGGGGGGATATGATCTCCATGTATAATACATAAGGGGGATATGATCTCCATGTATAATACATAAGGGGGGATATGATCTCCATGTATAATACATAAGGGGGGATATGATCACCATGTATAATACATAAGGGGGGATATGATCTCCATGTATAATACATAAGGGGGATATGATCTCCATGTATAATACATAAGGGGGGATATGATCTCCATGTATAATACATAAGGGGGATATGATATCCATGTATAATACATAAAGGGGGATATGATCTCCATGTATAATACATAAGGGGGGATATGATCTCCATGTATAATACATAAGGGGGGATATGATCTCCATGTATAAATACATAAGGGGGGATATGATCTCCATGTATAATACATAAGGGGGGGGGGATATGATCTCCATGTATAATACATAAGGGGGGATATGATCTCCATGTATAATACATAAGGGGGGATTTGATCTCCATGTATAATAATAAGGGGGATATGATCTCCATGTATAATACATAAGGGGGGATATGACTCCATGTATAATACATAAGGGGGGATATGATATGATCCCATGTATAATACATAAGGGGGGATATGATCTCCATGTATAAATAATAAGGGGGGGATATGATCTCCATGTATAATACATAAGGGGGGATATGATCTCCATGTATAATACATAAGGGGGGATATGATCTCCATGTATAATACATAAGGGGGATATGATCTCCATGTATAATACATAAGGATAGGGGTAAGGATATGATCTCCATGTATAATACATAAGGGGGGATATGATCTCCATGTATAATACATAAGGGGGATAAAAATAATGATCTCCATGTATAATACATAAGGGGGGGATATGATCATCCATGTATAATACATAAGGGGGGATATGATCTCCATGTATAATACATAAGGGGGGATACGTGATCTCCATGTATTAATACATAAGGGGGTATGATCTCCATGTATAATACATAAGGGGGATATGATCTCCATGTTTAATACATAAGGGGGGGATATGAATTCTCCTTGTATAATACATATGGGGGGGGGATAATGATCTCCCATGTATAATACATAAGGGGGGATATGATCTCATGTATAATGACATAAGGGGGATATGATCTCCATTGTATAATACATCAAGGGGGATATGATCCTCCATGTATAATAATAAGGGGGGGATATGATCTCCCATGTATTAATTACATAAGGGAGGATATGAATCCCATATATCAATACATAAAGGGGATATGATCTCCATGTAGAAACTACAATCAGGGGGGATATGATCTCCATGTATCAATACATTAAGGGGGATATGAAACATCCATGTATAATACATTAAGGGGGGATGATGATCTCCATATATATTACCAGTAAGGGGGGAATAGATGATGCTCCATGTATATAATTCATAAGGGGGGATATGATGTCACCATGTATAATACAATTAAGAGGGAATGATCTACCAATGTAATAATACATAAGGGGGGATATGATCTCCAAGTATAATACATATGGGGGGAATCTATGAATCTCCATATGTATATCTACAAGTAAGGGGGGAATATGATCTCCATGTATAATTCATAAGGGGGATATGATACTCCATTGTTTATAATACATGAAGGGGGAGGATGGGGATATCGATCTCCCATGTAATAATACATAAGGGGGGATAATGATCTCCTTTGTATAATACACAAGGGGGGATATGATCTCCATGTATAATACATAGGGGGGATATTGATCTCCTTTCATGTATAATATCATA